AAACAATTTCATTTGCATGGCAGACGGATGTGAGTGCCTGACTCAGCCAGCAGCAGTCACCCCTGGCATGGCGTGTGCCCTCAGTGGGGTTGTCTGAAAGAAACGACTGAGGGCCAGGCAGGGGAGGGATTAGAACTCAGCCTTTGAGGTCCAGGATCCTCTGTGCTGTTGTCTCGCCTTCCTGAGCTGCTTACTTTCAAACCTGATCCACCTAAATAATTGTCCGGGTTCCAAATCTTAGGATTGTACAAGGACATGAGAGTTCATCCTAAGACTTTCAGTACTGCCTTTTAGTGATGGGGAAGAGAAAGAGAGGTGTAGGGGATGTTGTGAAGTTAGGGTCATTAAGGTAGCAGAGGCCTGAAAAAATCGGGACCCACTAGTGAAAATACGTTTAAAAAATGGGAGTACTGCTCACAGAGGGGAGGAAGGACTCTGGGTAGTGGGGAGATGAACAGTTTAAGGAGTCCTTTAGAATCAGGGCTGCTTTGTTGCCTACAACTCCATTTCAGCCCGGCTTTGTTCTTTATGCTGTTTGGGGGCTGTTTTATTAAGCCATGGATCCCTCAGACAGGTATATAGCAAGAGGGTGACATAAAAGGAGAAAAAATATTTGGTACACAATGGAGGGAATAAAGGAAACAGATGGTCCTTTGAGGGGAGGGTCCAGAGGCCTGCAGCCTCTCTCTCAGACTTGCTTATGTTTTCCTCAGTGCCCGGAAGCTTGGCCTGTGGGCATCAAAATCCCCAAGGGGAGATGCTAAGAGGGGGGCTTAGGAGTCCTGGTAGCACACTGTGTTAAACATTGAGTGGCTCACCTTAAGGTCAGCCATTTGAACTACCAGATGCTCTGCAGGAGAAAGATGAAGCTTTCTACTCTTACAAAGATTTACAGGGTTGGGAACCCACCGAGGCAGTTCCAGTCTGGCCTAGAGGCTTGCTATGGATTGGAACTGATTCTGACAGGGGTTTGAACTTGAGCTTGGATGAGGGGGAAGTTGCCTTCCCTGGTTTTTGGAAAATCCTAGGCTTGTGATCAGAAGAAAGGGAATGTGTATGAAGGGCAGGGGCAGGAGGGAGTGATTTTGCGGTATGGCAGCGGTTCTCAACCTTGCTGATGCCACCACCTTTTAATACAGATCTTCATGTTGTTCCCAACCATAAAATTATTTTCCTTGATCCTTCATAACTGTAATTTTGCTACTGTTATGAATTGGATGACCCCTGTGAAAGGGTCATTTGACCCCCAAAGGGGTTGCGACCCACAGGTTGCGAACTGCTGTGGTATGGAAATGTGAGATTTCCATTCCTGGCCCTAGAAGCAAACATACAAGGATTGAAGCCTACTTTGGTGATCTTAGACAAGTTCTGAAACTTATTTTTTCATTTCTAAAATGAACATAGGGATCATAGCCCATAACTTAATTTCAGGATTAAATGGGATAATTCATGTAACCTTTAGAACACATGGTCTGGCACATAGGAATTACAGAGTAAATGGTAAAAATATCACTAGAGACTATCAATGTATTAATTTGGGTTCTCCAAATAGATAAAAACCAATAGGATTTTTATCTGTGCATGTGTATATCATAAACATATAGCTCTAGACACCTTAATATAGAAGTGAAAATATTTCCCTGGCAGGGGAGATACCATGAACACTAAGGTGGTTTTCTCAGGGGAAGGGTTATCTATTGCTCTCCAGATATGCTGACTCCTGCAATTTTCCCAAATATAGGCAATTCAACTACATCATTGGTGGTAGTGGGGACTGCATTCACTCACTCCCCTGGGCCGCGGGAGGGAAGGTGGGGAATAAATATACGTATAGATGTAAATATCTCAAAACGCCCTGCCCTAGTGTCAATGCTGACTCCTGAGGATTCTGTAGTTTATGAAGAGCCAGCGACCGCTCATCAGGAAGGAGCCCATGTGCCATGTGATTGTGGGAGCTGGCAAAACCCAGTCCGGGCAAGGGGTTAGAAACTAACCCCTAACTGATGCAGAATCCTTCTCAGGACAGTCTCAGTATTTTACTTTTAAGTCCTTCAACTTATTGGGTCAGTCCCACCCACAAAAGCATTCTCACTTGGAGAAAATGAATTGTAAATGTGAATCAGATCCACAATATACCTTTATGCCAACATTTAGTATTTGATCAAACAACTAGTCACCCCAGCCTACATCAGTTACCACATCATCTAGACCATCACAATGGCGATTACTAGGGAGCTTCCCGAGCATTGGTGGGGGTGTCAACTGTGGCAGGTGGCTGTGACTCTGGAGCAGGGATCGGTGGTGAAGGAGAATACACAAGTTGATCTCCAGAGAGCTGGGCTTCTGTTTTAACTCTACCACCTTCCCTTTGTATTTGACTCATGGACAAGTTCCCAAACCTCTCTAAGCTTTAGTGCCTTCATCTCGGAAATTGAGAAATTGTTATAATAAAAGCTCCAGGGAAATTAACTGGATTTCTGGTTTTCTTCCTTTTTTTTCATTTCTCACTGCCATCCAGTGATTCAGACTCACAGACCCCCTACAGGAGAGACTACAACTGCCCTGGTGAGTTTCGGAGGCTGCATTGTCTTTCCAGGAGTAGAAAGTCTCATCATTCCCCTTTATTGCTGCTGGTGGTTTCTAACTACTGACCTTGGGGTTAGCAGCCTGGCTTGTAACCCCTAGGCCACCAGAGCTCCTAGTGAACGTGATACATTCACTGTCATATTTGTAGATGACTTGGTCAGTCCCTTCCCTTGCCCCTGGAGCCCCTGTTTTGGTTAGTTGTTATTTTTAACCATAGGCATTGATCTTAAAGTGGACCAGGGTGATCACAGTCAAAAGGTGAACATTGAATATAGCTTTCAGTCGACTTGCAGTCATGACCTGCATTGAGATCTTGGGAAAGGGCATTAACACATCCTAGACTTGTATTCTCCAAAGGAGGCGTGAATCCCTCATCTTCCCAACTGCCTGCACCTGCAGCATCCATCTGATTGACATTCGGGGCAGCCCCCTACTGCCTATGAAGCAGCAGCCTCTTCAGTCCCACAGAGCATCGGGAACAAGGGATGATGATCTGCAAGGATGATTGCAGCAAGGTGGCCACAGTTCTAGGCTGATTAATAGGTCTCCTCAACAAGAGACCTATTGTCTGAGATGTGGGCGAGGCAAGGGAAGTGGAAAGGGGAAGGGCCTAGGCTTGCTGACTGGGAGTCTGGTACTCAGGCCATATCCTCAGGCAAAGGTCTTCAGATTGGAATCACGGATCAAGCTCCTGCTTTGAGAGCTTGGGGTGACTCGCGAGCACAGAGGTTTCTTTTAAACCGAGATTTGTATATCAGAACCACCTGAGAATCTTGTTAAGCCGTAGATTCTGATTCAGTGTATCTGGAGTAGAAAGTTAAATTATCTACAGGGGCCAAACCATAATGAACTGGTTTGAAGCCCTGCTTGAAACAAGCATTCCAGTACCTGAGCATCCAGATCAGTGGTGCCTTTCGAAACAGATGCTACAATAGGCTAGTTCTTAATCCCCCTACTTTTACTGCTAGGGTAAATCTTTGAGTCCTCCTTTGACATGGTCCCAGAAAATAACCACCCCGTTGCCATCAAGTCGATTTTGACTCATAGAGGACAGAGTAGTACTGTCCCTGTGAGTTTACAGGAGTAGAAAGCCTCATCTTTCTGTCTCACAGCGGCTTGTGGGTTTGAACTGCTGATCTTGTAGTGAGCAACCGTACCTAGTATGCAACCAGAGCTCCTATGGTCCCAGAACCTATGGTAAATCACAACTAGATAAGGCTCATCTTCCATTTGGATCCAAATTGTATTACGATACTAAAAATTGGTCAACGTTTTTATTTACTGAAATTTGTTTCCATGAAAACAATCCTTTTCCCTGTTAGCCGCCACCAAATCAGTCTCTAATTGATGGCAGTCCCGCGCAGGTGGATGGAACTCACCGCCGCCCAGTTCTGCACCCCCGCCAGGACTGCCTGCAGACCAGGCCTTGGTGCTCAGTCGGTTTCCGCGGGCTGATTTTTGGAAGAGGATGGCCCAAACTTCCTTCCCGGTCCCTTGTCACCTAGCAGCTCCACCCAAACCTGCTGAGAATCCCAGCAACATCCAAATACCCTGCGAGATGGGCAGTGGCTGCACCAGGCAGTGCTGAGGTTGGAAATGCCACTGAGCCCTCGCCGTCTCCATGGAAACCAGAAGAGCTAGGCCTTCTCTATGTGTGTTTGTGAGTCCCTGGGACATGTGCTTTGTAACAACTTTCTAGGTTGGAACAACCACCCTGGGGGTAATCCCTGGTTTTTCGTTGTTATTACCGTGACCTTTTCTGTATAAAATCACCCTCGGAATTGTTTAATTCCAAAGTCAATAAAATTTCCATTAGGGCAAAGTGATTGTTTCCCAAGTTTCATTCCACCTTTAAATGACCAAAAATGGCCATGGGGGAATTCCAAAAATGGTTTTCGAAAATAAAACTCTATTGGAATAAAGTGCTATGCACATATAACATGACTGCTTTCTCATTCCCTAGCAAATATTCCATATGCTTATTTGGGGAAAAATATTCCCACCGCATCACAAATCCATGGGTTTTCCTTTCACGGTCTCCTTTCGTTTTCCCTATCAGTTTTTGACATGAAAGCCATGGCTACTGATATGTATTAGAGGTCATATAACAGGGAATGGCTGATAGAGACCTTAGTCATGTCCCAGAGCAGGTACAGCAGGTCTATGGCTCCTGTCAAATCCAACTAAGTTTTTCAGGGAAATGCTGACCATACCTCCAAGCATCGATATAGTCACTCTTTATCTCATGGCTGCGTGGCCCTCCATCTGTAGTAACTGATCACCTGCCCACTCGTTCCAAGTAGAAAGTCAAGCTTACCCCTGTTCTTTAAGTATCCAAAGAAACAAAACTAAACCCATTCTTGTTGTGCCTAGTATCATTCCAGACCTTACATAGGGTTTCCAGGACTTTAAAGCTTTGTGGCAGCAAACAGCTTTGTTTTTCAAACTCACTGCCACAGCGTCAGCTCTGACTCAGAATGAATGACTCCACAGGACAGGGTAGAACTGTGCCCGTAGATTTCCGAGACCATACATCTCTATGGGAATAGAAAGCCTCCTTTTCTTCCCCTGGAGGAGCTGCTAGTGTCTAAGGGCTAACCTTGAGGTTAGCAGTCAAAATGGCCTCTGCTATGCCACCAATGGTCCGTGGATTGGCTCGAGTGTTTGAGTAGCCCCCCTTGTGGTTTTGTGGTTAGAAGCACAATGCTTAATCCACATTACCAGGGCTAGTTAAGTTTCCCCCAACGAGTGAAACTATAAAGAGAAATGCGTGGGCCCTCACCTGGAAGTATACACCAAACTTAAATGGAGTGCAGGTGAACTCCTACGTACATGTTAATGTGTTCCTTTGCTTCTCTGAATTCTGCTTGGCAGCTTACGTCTGTGTTTTTGTTGCTGGTAAGTCAATCCTGACTCTGGTGACCACAGGTGTGCACACTAGAACCGCACTTCAAGGCGTCTGAAGTGCTTTCGGGTAGGCTCGAGACAACAATCCTGCAGTTAGTAATCCAGTGCTCTCGCCTACACACGGAGGTTGAGTAAGTAAAGAGTATTCCTACTTGGGTCCTGGTTCATACATCCCTGGTATATTCCAAAGAAAACATATTTAAGTGTGTCTCTGCAATATTAATCACCTAACTAGGTACAAGTGGGTTTAAAGAGTTTTGTGGTAGGATTCCATTATTTTTTAATTCCATTTTTCATGAACTTCTTGAAGTTCCCTGGTGGATCATCATAACATTTGAGTTACATCTGGAGGGGATTTTCCAAAAATAGAATATTGAGACCAGGAATTAAGGAAGCAAATAATTGCTCGGTGTGGGTCCAACACTACCCAGCGAAGTAAATCTGTGCCCACCAGAGGGTTTGATGCGTTCAGAAGGGTTTCTAAATTTTTTTTTAAAAGATGAGGAAATGTGTGGCACTTGGTTCTCTTCAACATGATAATTATTAAAACATCTCTTCTTAGTCTGATTCCATAAAAACAAACAGAAAACTCTAGATAAACTTGGTCAGTCTTTAGTTCATGATTGCATATTTAAATACACTGGGGGCCTTATAAAAACCCCAAACCTGGGCTTTCTCTCAGACTCATGCTTCTCTAAACATTAGTAGAATCACTTGAGATGGCGACAAGGGATCTGCATTTGTCACAAGCTCCCAGGCGGTGCGGATGCTGTGGATCTAAGGCACACACTTTGGGTAGCAAGGCCTTAGCAAAGACAAAGCTGCAGCCACTTGTTGAAACGCTTCTAAGGTGACCAGATTTCACCATTGATAAAAGTCATATCCTGGCGAAATAGCCACATGGCAGCCGAAAACCGTCTACCCTAGCTGGTCGTGCATTCTTTCCAAGAATCGGGACTTTTTTAAAAAACGGCACGGGACGCGGGACGCGGGAAGCAGGAAAAATTGTTAAAAATCAGGACTGTCCTGCCAAAAGCGGGACGTCTGGTCACCTTACTATTGGTATTATGTTAATTCCTAGAGTTTTGTTTTATGCCTTTCATGCAGTTTGAGCCTTTTTCTTTAGGACCCTTGGTTCTTAGTCATTTGCTACCTCTTGACCATATGCTACTAACTGAAAGGTTGGCAGGAGAAAGATGAGGCAATAATATTGAATAAATCCTAGGGGCTCAAGTAGAAAGCAAATGTTTTGAGAATGATCATGACAACATATGCACAAATGTGCTTGACACCATAGACGG